CCTTTGTTGTGAGGAACTTTGTCTGTGACCCCATTTCTGCTCTAACCCTTTCCAACAAGTGAGTTTTCCCCCCTGTTGTTGCAGGACTTTGCTGTGGCCATCACTGGCAGGTGCCTGGCTCTGCTCAGCCACCAGGATGGGAGGATTGTCACAGTAAGTCAGCAGCAAAACGTGGTCTTGGCTGCCCTGACACATTAGAGCAAATTTCTACCCTGTACAGGTCTGTACACGAGGCTTTGAGGCCTAAAACATTCCTGATAATGGTGTTATTTAATGAATAAACATGCAGGGAGTTGTACTGGGCTCAGTTTGGTCTCACCTCTCCCCTGCACTGAGTTTAGAAGCTCTGCTGTGTTCAGTTTTCACTAAACAATAAAAAAGCCTCATCCTCAAGAAGTTTCTCATTAGATTCTCCAAGTCTGTGATTCCCTGAATTTCTGTAAACTTCTCCTTTTAGTGCTTTGATTACTTTCGGTTTTTTTCCTGCCGAACGAAATAATTTGAAGTTTCCTGGGCAAACAAACATTTCCTTTTGCTCCCCTCTCCTTTTTCCCTGACTCAGAGAGCCATTGGGGTGCTGAGCCGTGTCCTGCCAGCGTCCTCCTCAGCGGTGGAGGAAGCAGTGAAAGCAGGAGTGGTGAAGAAAATGGTCAAATTCTTGAAAGTGAGTCAAACTCTCTTTATTTCTGCTCCTATTTTCCCTTCAGCAAACCACAGCTGCCCTTGGCTTTGGCCTCCTTTCCCTGGGAGAGGGAGGATGTGTCTGCCTCCGTGGTGTCCACTGGGACAGTTTGGGTTTAGTTTTAAGCCAGGGAGGCAGTCTGGGGACTGCACAGTTTTCTCTGTGTCTGGCAGGATGTGTCTGAGGTGCATTTTGCACACTTGCTGTGATGCAGACCAGGTTAGCCTAGAAGAAGACACTCAGCTTGGGTCTTGTCTCAGATCTGATGGTTTGAAAAGAATTGGCCTCCAGACGTTCAGGGCATTTTGAAATGGGTTTTGTGTAATTCTCATCCTCTCTGGAGGTTTTGATTGGATATTTGGGCTTAGGCATAAGGAATACCTGAGTGTCTCCACTCTGTAACTCTGGGCAAGGTGGGTGTGCACTGGTTGTCAATGTGCTTTAATCCACCAGGCTGGAGGGCAGCTCACAGCCACTTATGGCATAAAGACCCTCTGCATCTGCACCAGGAGCAGCAGGCAGGCTCAGGAAGAGCTGGTGAAGGCAGATAAAAGTAAGTGCCAACTCCACTGATTGGAGACTGAGAGCAGAGCTGGGATCTCCCCCAGTTCCTGCCTTTCCCTCCACAGTGGAACTGAACTCTGGGTTTTACTCTGGCAAGACTTGAGCCACGTTCTCTGGGTGATGTGCTGTTTTCCCTCCTGAGGGGGTGTTTGATGGGCCTGGTTGTGTGTGTGGATTGAAATGGGCACAGCAGGTGATGGGCCTGAGTTAGGAAACTGCACCTTCCTCTGGTGAGATGGCTCAGCAGGCTTTGTCAGGGGATGTATTTTGGAAAAAGTGCTGGTAAACTGGAACTGAATTGGGGTGTATTTCATCAAGTTAGTGGCTAAAATAAGAAACTTGTGATTTCCAGAAGCTGAGGCTGTTTTATGGTGCCTTTCATGTGTTTATTTGGCCTGCTATTAAAACAAGATGGATACAGAGACAGTGATGATACCAGGCCAGGTGTCAGGGTATTTTGGAGTATATTTGCTCTAGTCTTGTGGTATAACACTGCTTAGATTGCTTTAAAATCCAGCTTCAATTAATGCTAATGTAACTACAACAGAGAATACTTAAATGTGCTCTAAATGGTTGAACCTGTCAAGAAACTGTCAGTGTGTGTAGTTCAACTTGAACCCCAAGGGTTTCCACTCATTAAAAGCCTCTCAGAGCATCATCTTCCCTTTGTGCAACCCAGATGAGTTTCACTGTCATCTGCAGATGAAGCTTTCATTTCCTCAAATAGCACCAACACTTATTCTTCCCTCCAAAGCTCTGGGTATTAATCCTCTGAGAAGTCACTTATTTCTTATTTTTTTTTGTCAGCTGTTTGCCAACCCAGACACTGGAATCGAGCTTTAGTCCCATGACACTGAATTGCATTTCTGGGCCACTTAATTGAGCCCCTGCCCCAGCCCCTGCTGCTGTGGGGAGCAGCACTGCCTTTGCAGGAGATATTATTGCAGCAGCAAGGGTAGAGTGTGAGCAGGAAGAGGGACTGTGGAGAAAAACAAACAAACAAACAAACCAAAGTTATGTAAATCCCCAAGGAAACTTCCTGGCTGTGTTTTATGTAGACAGTGGTCTCTCTAAACGTTTCCAGACTCTGTGGCCTGAGATGCTGCTGCTTGCAGAGGTCAGCAAGAGCTGCACATCTCTGCCAAGGGCACAGAAAATACTCTGCTGGTTCCAGAGGTGGATGAGCTGAGCTGAGCTGCCCTGGGGTGGTGAAGGATCTACAGGAAGCTTTTCATGGTCCTTTTCTCAGCTGTCCTTCCCACCACAGCATTTCTGCCTTCAGGCAGTGGACTGGGCTCTCTGAGCCCTCTGTGCCTGCTCTGCCAGGGGGACAGGCCAGTGGGAGCTGCAGAGGTGGCACCTCCAGCTCCTCTCCTTAGTGAGGACACAGCTGGGCGGGTGAAGCTGGTCCCTCCTGGATCCTGAGCCCTGCCAGGGAATTCCCTTGCTGCCCCCGGGTTTCCCTGAAGGCTCAGCCCCGGGAGTTGAGGTGGAGGCAGGAGGGAAGGTCAGTGCCCCCGGGAGTTCAGGTGGAGGCAGGAGGGAAGGTCAGGTGCCCCCGGGAGTTGAGGTGGAGGCAGGAGGGAAGGTCGGTGCTCCCCAGCAGCTCTGAGTGAATTCTGTGCCTCCTCCCGCAGGGTTTGCGGTGCTGCTGCGGCTCCTGCGCTCACAGGAGGAGATGGTGGTGGGAAATGCTGCTTTCTGCCTCAGCCAGTGCCTGGGGGTGCCCGGGGCAGGCACAGCCCTGCTGGGCTCCGACGTGGTGCTGCTGCTGCTGAGCCTGGCCGGGGGTGATGGTGCCAGCCCCGCGGGGCGGGAGAACGCGGCCGTGGCCCTGGGGAAGCTCTGTGCTGCTGAGCCCAGGTACTGCCCCAGCACCCGGGGCTGCTCCAGCTGGGGCTTCTGTAGGTGATGACCCTTGGAAAACCGGCCAGAGTAAGGCAATTGTACCCACAGGGCAAGAGGGTACGGGGCAGGGGGTTATTTTATATAAATACCCTTCCTCCAACTGGAATTCCCGCTTGTCCTCTCCCCAAAATCCTGCTTTAGGGCTCCTGGGGGGTTGGTTCTCTGTCTTCACACGTTTCAAGGAGTTCGTTTACCTGTGCTGGAAGAAGGGATGTTAGAAATCACTGTAGAGGTCAGAGCAATAATGAGAGCAGGATAAAAGTAGAAATGTCAGCAAGGAGTGTCTGCTGCTGCCTGCCAGGAGAGTGCCAGGCTGACAGCTGGGTCTTGGGCTGCATTCCATGCAGGGAAACCGAGTTTAACTTGCTCATGTGCATCCTGAAGCACTGCAGAAAGCAAGGGATAATGCTTAGGTCCCAGAATTTACCTGCCTTGCTTCTGCTGGAGATGCCAAAGCAGCACTGAAGTATCTGCTGTGAGGTTTGTGTAACCCACCAGAGATAGGAAAGGGAAACACCTTATTTTCTTAGTTTTGTTGATGTGAAATGCCATCTATTTTAGTATGATCAGGCATTATTTATTTTCCTTTCTGAGAGGAACAGTAATCTAGGAACTCTGTTTCTTGTGCTGCTCTAAGAGGGATTTATTGAATATGGCATTAAACACCCTTGGGGGTTTGGGCAGGGGTATGGCAGGGCAGTGAAAGCTTCAAACTTTCATTGTAGTCACCACCCATTTCCCAGAAAGCTTCCTGTTGTCTTTCCAGGCACATTCCCCAGCTGAGGAAGCTCAATGGCCTGGCCATCCTGAACTCCTCCATGAAATACGTGCACAGCAGCTGAGCCCTTCAGAGACCTTCCAAACATGTTCTTCATCCCACTTATTGTTGAGTATTCTTTTCTTTAATAAAACTAACTCAAAGCACATCAGCTTCTTAGTCCCTTTTTGAAGCATTTGTGGTCCCACAAGGAAGCCAGTAAAACAATATCAGGAGAAAGAAGTTAATTTATTATTTAGGCTACCACCTAAAATAACAGCTTGCACTAAGCTGTCTTTGCTTTAATAAATGACACAATAAATGGCCATTTTTTGGCCTTGTTTTTAAACACAGGAAACAAAAGAATATATTACATTTATATGAATAAGCACAGGCCAGTCATGTTTGACTTTAAAATGGCTCTTCAGCTTCCCTCCATGACACCTGTGGGTGTCTATTCTGGGGGTAATCTTGTCCCTCCAGAACAGTGGCTGACAAATTATATATCATCTCCTTTTCAAAATAGCAGCTGAATCATCTTCCCACTTGAGGAGAAGGAAATTCTCTTGCACCTGGTTTTTCTTCCCCTCTCAGTGAAAGGCACAGAATTGATAATCTCAATTTAATAATCTCTCTGGCTTTTTTAGGATCCTGCCGTTGAGCTGCACCCTGCCTAGACAAACATGGGACAGATGCTGTGTGTGGGTTCAGTGCAAACAGGCACAAACCCAGGGTTTGTTCCCCAGAGTGGTCAGTGCCCCAGGCAGGGCACAGAGTGCTGGGGGCAGCTCTGGGGTGGAGGCACTGGCTGGAATCGGGGCTCTGTGTGTCAGGGGCTGTACAAATGCCAAAAGTCGGGGTGATTTTCTCTCCCAGACAACTCAGAGAGTGGGAAAAAGCCGAGGTGACCTGCCCTTGGTTCCCAGCTGGAGGTGAGTGGCAGGGCTGGGACTGTGCTGTCTGTCCTCCCCCAGGCTCCACTCGAGCAGCTTGCTGAGGGATGGATCAGGGTTTGTTGGTGCTCCCTGCCAGAGCCATCCCCTCATCCCCTGCCAGAGCCATCCCTCACCCCCAGTGTCCCTCACTGTGCTTTCCCAGCTGTCACTGTGCTGCTTATCTGACTCGTGCTCATGTTTTCTCTGCTCTCAGGGCAGCCAGGGCTGGGTGACTGTTCTCTCCTTCCCCTCAGCCCTTCTCCAGGAGTTTGGCTGGCTGTGTGTGTCTGTGCAGGTGCCTGGCACTGGGAGATACCTGCTGTGTGCTGCTTGTGTCTGCAGGGGAAGGTTTGCAAGGACTCTGAGGCTTTATGGCTAAAGGAAAAAAGGGTTGTGTGTGTGATCAGCCCAGGAAGCCTCTGGTCTCTTCTTTGGCTGTTAGGAAACTTTAAATTCTGTTATGAAAGTTTAAATCCTGTTATGAAAGTTTAAGTTCTTGTTCTTCCCCTGTGGGTCTCGTTCCTCCCTCACCCAAATGTCAGGTCAGGCTGCCCTGAGCCAGCTGGGGTTTGTTGCTGTGCTGTCACCTCCTCGACGTGTGGTGGCTTTTCTCTGTGGCTCCTGAGTGGAGAACACACTTTGCCAATGCTTGTAGGCCTGGGGAAGAAAGGATCCAGCAGCTGGATTCCTCCTCTGGAGCCTCACCCTGCCTGGAGGGTCACAGGGACACAGTGTCCATCTCCTGGGGTCACTGCAGGAGTGGATGGCTTTAGTGGAATGTCTCCATCTGGGATCCAGGCTGATCCCTGAGTGTGTTTGTATCAGCACAAACTGGCAAAACCTTCTGACCCTTATTGGGTAGAATTAGAATTGTAGAGCAGCCTCTCCCGTTTACAGCCACTTTTTCCATCTCTGGATGGCAAACACACACGAACACATTCTCTTCTTTTGTTAAAAATCAATTGATTCCAATTGGTGCAGGTTTTTTTTTTTCTGGAACAGGTTATTGGTTGCTGTCTGGCCTAAGCTCTTATAAAGTAACCCAATACTCTGCCCTTCCAGAGCAACCAGCAAATGCCCAGTTCTGGGAGGCAGCAGTGACTCCTCGGGGAGCTGCTTCCTGACAGGATGTATTTTCTTGGGATGACTCAGGAGCTGCTTCACGAGATGCAGGAAAAACTCCCCATCTTTGTCCTGATTGCAGCTGGACTGTTGGATTTGTCTGGTGAGTGATGTGTTTTGTTCTGATCTCTGCTGCTGCTTCTCTGCCTTGTTTCCTCCCTTATCAGCAAGCACAGAAAGGATGCTCAGTGTTGTGCCAGCAGCCTGAGACAACTCTGGGATGCAGGAGCAGCTTCCCTCTGCCTGTGCAGCTCAGGATTTGGGGGCTTTCTGCTGGGGGGTGTTTGTGGCCCCACTCAGGACATTCCTGTGCTGTTTACCTGAGCTTACAAAATAGGTATTTTCTCTTCAGGGTGGGGAAAGCAGAGCAAAAAGTCCCTTTTCCCAGAGTAGTTCCAAGCAGCACTGAGGATCAAACTGGTGAAACCTTGTTCAGAATCCCCTTTTCCAGGCACCACAGTTCATCATCTTAAGCCTGATAAGAATTCTCCACCTGATTAACGATTTTATTCTCTTTGTGGGTTTTGGTGTGTTTCTTTAAATTACCTTGTCCCCCTGCAGGGTGTGTTTGTGGCTGTTCTCACCACTTTAAGACCTCAGTTCAGTAAGTGCTTGTCTTTACAGACAGATCACTTGTGTTGGGGCTAAACCATGGGAGTGTCAGTTGTTTGTACAAAACCCCCAGTGTAAAGTATTTTATAGATTTAACATACCAATCTCCATCACCTGTTAACCTACCTCCCTTTTTTAGCAATAAATCAGCTTTTTGAGTTCCATCATAGCAGCTTTTCCTGCTCACTGCTGCCTCAAAGCAGTGCTGGTTCTCCAAATGTCCACAGGGACATTGGAATCTCGAGGCACCACACCTGGATGCCAAGCCCAGGGATTTCATCTGCTGAAGCTCTGCTTTGCCTCTGTCAAAAACTCCCCAATTTAAATGCATAACACTCAAATGCATAATCACCTTTTTATAGCTTGTGGATCAGCCTGTTTCCTGGCAGGTGCCTCAGGGGAAGATGCTCAAAGTTCTGGGAGAGGAAAGTACAATAAATGTTTTAATCGATGGTTTGGAAATGATACTTGGGAACGTCAAAGCTTCTGACGTGAAGAGAAAAAAAAACAGCAAAAATGTGTGGACAAAAAGACAACCTTTTAAACCCAGGGTCTGCCTTTTAAACTGGCAAAGTGTCTGCTTTTGATCAGAGAATATAAAGGTGGAGAAGTTGCTGTGTTCTGCCTGCTCTGTGTCAAAGCAAACCAGCTTTGTGCTGCTGGTCACCCAGCGTGGGTCAGGGAGCTCCTCATGGGATTGGGGTGCTGGGAAGGACGAGAGTTAAAGCAGAGCCACTGAGGGAGCTCCCTCAGGGCTGTTTTAGTCTTGCTTTGCTGTCCTTGGGCAGCCTGAGGGTTTCCTCCCCCTGCACCTTCAGGTGTTTAGATCCTTGCACAGGGAAGGTCAAGGGCTCCCCCCTGGCTGGGGAATGCTTTGGGTCCCTCAGAGGGTGCAGAGGGTCAGGTCTGTCCCAGCTCTGTGAGAGGGCAGTGCCAGAGCTGCCCATCCTCCCCGTGGCTCTGGGCAGGCAGCAGCTGCTCCATGGAACTGCTGCAAACTGTGCAAGGTTCTTGGGCAACTGAAAGGGCCAAAGGCTTGTTTTCTGTTCCTCAGGAGCCTCCAGGAGTGAACGTGATGCCAGTGACATGTTGGCCCTGGGCTTCCCTGGATGGGCCCAGCCCAGAGCTGAGAGCAGCCCAGTGCCCAGCGAGGGCTTCCCTGGGACAGAGGACGACTTGGATGGGGTGACCTTCCACTTCCAGAGCCCAGCAGCTGATCCCACCAAGGCAACCACGGCTGACTCCAGCCCTGCTGCCACAGGGAGAGCTGCAAACAGGACAGCTCTGCTGCCTGGGGGCTTGGCTGGGACCCTGGAGGTGTCTGAGCCCCTGCACACACAAACAGCAGCTTCAAAACCCCAGGCTGGACACGCCTGGCCTGGCCAGCTCTCGGGGAGCTTCAGCATCCCTGTCTCCACACAAGGATCCCAGGCTACCACAGCTCTGGAGCAGCCAGGCAGGTCCCTGCAGAGACCAGGAGATATCCCTGGGGCTGGTCCCAGCCCTGCTGCTGGGCTGCCCCAGCCCCCTCCCAGTGTGGGGCCACACCAGGACTCTCCCCAGTTCACAGCTGTCCCCTCCCTTTCTGTTCTTATGGAGATGACAAAGCCTAAAACATCTCCCCTGACTTCAACAGTCCATTTTCATCCTCCAGGAAAAGGAACAGCAGCATCTCCATCTCCAAGCAGAGCTGGGGTTGCTCCTGGAGGTGCAGGGCTGGGCTGGTCCCCCCCAGGGATGCACACAACCCCCCAGGCCCAGCCTGGCAGCACAGCAGCTCTGACTCCTGCACACCTGGAGAGGACCCAGGGTATGGATGCTGGAATTACAGCTTCTGCAGTCCCACCACAGCCAGCTCCAGGGGGCCTGGATGCAGCCTATTCCAGCACAACACATGCCAGGACCACTCAGCTTTCCCCTGCTTTGCCTCTGAAGGAAGAAAACACAGGCAGCAAAGGCAGGAATTCAACAGCAGCTGTAACAAATGGTTCTGGACACCCAACCCAGCTGCCTGCTCTGCAGACACTGCCACCAGGCCACGTCCATTCCTCTTCATTCCTGATGGGATCCCCAGTTCCTGGTGGGTTAAGTCCATCTCCAATTCAAGGGCCTGTTGGCACAACTGGAGGACAACAGCCCCTGTCTTTGGACAGGGCTCTCAACTGCACCAAACCTGCTGCCCAGGAAAGCAACAGGAGCTCTCAGGGAATCACAGTTGTAGCTCTGCAGGGAGATGCTGATCATGGGATGGTGACAAGTAAACCTGGAAAATCTCTATCCCCTGAGAGCCCACAGGCTTCTGCTACTTCATCCTCATTAAGCCCATCAGGGATTTCGGCATTAAAGCTTTCCCAGACTACTAAAGAGCAAAAAGAAGTAACGTCTGCACCCTCTCCTGGAATGTCTGGCTTTGGGAATGCAGACCTTCAGCCCTGGGATTCTGTTCAGGAGGGGCTTCAGCCACCAGGTGCATCTTTCCCTGCTCGTGCTGGATTGCAGCCCATGGGCATCCCCAGCTCTGCTGAGAGACTTCACACAACAACAACTTCCCCCCCAGCCCCTGGCTCTGGGTCTCAGGGGGTTCCTGCCCACCCTGTACTTCGGGAGGCCTTTGCTGTGACACTGCAGGTGAGCACAGGGGAAGACTCCAAGAGAAGGAAAGGTCTCCCACAGCAGACAGCTGGAACTGGTTCTGCACCAGCCAGCCCAGTGCCCAGCCCCTCTGGAGCCCGTGAGAGCAGGACCCAGGCAGCTCCCTGGCACAGCTCTGCCCCTGCAGCCCCCCAGAGCCAGCACAGTGCCAGCCCAGCAGCTCCTGCTCCAGCACCACCCTCGCCCCGTGCAGGGGGAAGCCAGCCCAGCTCAGGCACAGCACACCCTGCCCCAGGGGTGCCCAGTGTCCCTGGTGAGGTCCCAGCACAGCTGGCACAGGCTCTGGTGCAGCAGTTCAGGAGGGCTCTTGATGCAGCCACCAGGAACCTCAGCACCGGCAGAGGAGACCCCCTCACCATCACCTCAGCCCCAAAGCTGTCCTTCCTGTTCAAGAGCACTGATGGCATGATATGCCTTCGACCCCTGCAGGAGTCCCCTCTGCCCAGGACATTCCCAAATGCCAGTGTTGGGGGGCTGGTTTCTGTCCAGCAAATCCTGGCAGCGTCAAATTCCTCAGCGCTGGACCTGGCAGACTTACACCAGCTGAGTCCTTCCAGCCTGGTCCTGCTCAGGCCTGTGTTCATCCTGCTGCCCACGGACAGGGCACACTCACCCTTTCCTCAGGGGGAAGGTGACCACAGAACCACCCACCTGGGCACACACGTGGGCACCCCTGAAAGCAGCCACGGGAGAACGAGTTCCTCTTATCCCACCAGTAAATCTGAAACCACTCTGTCCACTGTGTCCAACCAACAAGCAGAGAGAGCAAAGGTGACTCCTCAGCCAACTCATCCCAGTTACAGAGCCACCGTGGGCTTGGGCCAAGCTGCCACCTCAGCACTAGGTCCTTTGCTGGACCCAGGGATGGGGATGAGCAGCACAGGGCAGGCCCTGCACCTTCCCAGGATGCCAGAGGAGATGCAGATCCCTGCTCCCCCTTCCCAGGAGGCCAAGGGCACTGATTTACTGCTCCTGAGCAGGATGTTGGCAGAGCCTGGCACCTCCCCTGGGGCACCATCAGTGCTGCCCACGCAGCAGAGCCCCTACACTTCCTCCAAAGTGTCTCCCACGACTGAAAAGCCACATTCTGTAACTCCTTTACTGCCAGCAAAGGGACTCCTTGATTTCCCAGTGCCTGCCCAGCCCGTGGCCAGCAGCACAGGGGCTGCAGGCCATGCCCAGCACGGTGGGACACTGCAAACTGCCCCCCCTGGCCAGGGCTCAGGGACCACCCCGAGCTCTGCCCCTGCTCCCTGCGTGGAGTGTGGGACCTCACGCTCAGCTGCAGCCACAAAACACCCACTAAAGGGGCTCACAAGCACCAAACCTCTGCAGGCCACGTCCCAAGGGCTCCCAAGGACCACACTGCTGCTGCCATCCGTGGTACCCAGCACGTCCTCAGCTTCCCCAGTGCTTCCAGCTGGGAATGAGCACGGAGAGGCTGCCCTGGGCAGCACAGCTCCTGCAGGAGGGGTCCCTGTGCCTGCTACAGCAGCACAAACCCACAGCACTTCCGTACAACCTGATCTCCCTCACCACTTGGAATTCACTCCCATGGTGCCCAAGCCCTTTGTAAGGACAGAGGGACCAACAGCAGCCCCAGTGCAGGCTCCCTTCTCAACAGAGATCCAAAGGAAAACCACGGTTCCTGGGAAACTTGGGGCTGCAGTGACCCACCCAAGGGTGTGTTCCAGCTCTGCTGCACGCCCACCTTCTCCTGCTCCTGCACATGTGCCCCTGCTGGCAGCCCTGGAAGGTGACCAAGCCCTCCAAGCTCCCACTGAACTGTTCCCACGGGCCAGCACGGGAGAAACCCCAAAGCCAACTGAAAGCAGCACGAGGGCAGGAAAAGCAGGACCCGGTGAATCCTCGGGGGTGAGTGTGTCCCTGTCAGCCCCAGTGAACACACAGACACAGCACCCACCCCCAGCAGCCCTGGGGAAGGAGCTGGGTTCGAGTGCAGCACAGCCCTCTGTGCCCACGGGAGCTGCCCTGCAGAGACAGCCCCGAGGGACACAGGGCACCCCCCAGGCTGCCCCAGCAGGGACTGCTCTCCCTGCAGCCCAGGGTGCTCAGACCACTGCTCCACTCACCAGCAAGAAAGGGCATCACCTGCCCACAGCAGCCCCCCAGCCTGATCCCAGCGTGGTGCTGCCCAGGGTGAACACACCCGCTGTGGGGAAGGGCGAGGGCGAAGCAAAAGGAGATGCAGCCCCCACCAGCCACCTGCCCACCCAGGCACCCCTGTCTGCGTCCCCCAGACACCCTCTGGAGAAGGAGATCCTGGAGGACACCATGGAACAGGAGCCTGGTCATTCCAGCCCTGGCAGTGCCCTGAGTGCCACCGGGCCACCTCCCACAGCAGCACTGGCTGTCTCTGCTGCCAGGCCTGGGAACAAGGTCACCAATCACTCTGCTGCCTTCCAGAGAGCAGCTGGCAGTGATGCTGAGATGCTTCCAGCCAGAGACCTGATCCAGCTCCTTCCAAGCCCAGAGAGCCCCTCACATCCTGCCGGGAGCCCGGTGCCAGCCCGGGGGGATTCCCTGCTGGGTGTGGCAGGCACTGACTCATCCGAGGGGCTGCTGCTGAACACAGAGGCAGAGGAGATGGGCAGGACGGAGGAGGTGACAGACGGAGCAGCTGAAGGGCTGGTGACACTGCTGGATGCCCAGCCCAGCGCCCCGGGGGACTCTCACCACAGGAGGGGGCTGCAGCCGGAGCTCACCGTCCTGGATGGGTAATCCATTCCCTCCGTGTCATTCCTGCTGCGGGATTTAAGGGTGGGGTCAATATTTACAAGGGTCTGCAGTGACAGGTCGAGGCAGTCCCTGTTGCCTGGCTGTGCCTCACCTTTTCCCCTGTCCCCCCTCTTTCCCTGCAGCCTGGCCGTGGTGAGGGACGACGCCTGCGGCTCCGGCAACTACACGGTGCAGCTGAGCCTGAGCCCCGCTGCTGACACAGCCCCCGAGCCCCACGGGCCTCCAGCACCTTCCCCAGAGACCTTCCTGGCCTTGGTGGCCGTGCAGGACAACCTCAGCCAGCCCCTGGTGCAGCCCCTGCTGCAGATCCACTCGTGCTGTGTGACCCCCTCCGCCAGCCCCGGGGCCCCGGGAGCCCAGTGCTGCCTGTTCCGCAGGTGGGACACGAGCCCATGGGATGGGATGGGCTTCACCTCCCCTGGCATCCTCAGGGAACCCTCTCCTGTGTCCTGTGGCTGCGGGCTGAGCTCTTTGGAGCAAGCTCCAAGCAGTGTGAGCAACTCCAGGAGTGCTCTGCTCCCTCAGCCTGGTAATTAATACCGAGGGCCTGATAAGGCACAGAACCTCAGGGGAAGAAATCTCCCTTGGATTTCTGTAGATGAACCATCCCAATTCCCCACATCCATAATCATTTACATTTCTTATGTAGATAAGCCATCCCAATCCCCCACAGGTGCTGTCCCAGGTGTCAGGGTACAGCATCCCTGCCCTTCCTGCTGGGATGGCACATCCCAGGAGCAGAGCAGTGCTGGGATGGCAGCCAGGCTTCTCCACAGGCTCCCATTTCCCCAGCAGCATTTCACAGCTGTTCTGGCCTCACCTGAGCACAGGGGAACGGGAGGATTCCTGAGCTGATGTTTGCAAAACCACTGGGGTGTGAGACGTGTCAGGGAGTGGCTGTCACAGCACAGCAGCCATTTCACTGCTCGTGCCAAAATCAGCCTCCAGGGAACAGTTCTGCTGCCCTTGGGCTGTGTCCTCCACAGCAGGGCAGGCACAGCCTGCAGTGCTGACATTTGGGGGTTTTTGTTCCTGTAGGGCAGGGCTGTGGCTCAGAGCTGGTGCAGACCCCTGCCAGCAGATCCCCCTCTTCCCTGCCTTCCCTCAGCTGCAATTTGAACCTGTTTGCCCTTTGCTCCAGGCTGCCATTTGAGTGCAGGCACATCCAGCTGCTGCAGAGCAGCAGATCCAGAGCTGCCAGCTTCACCATCCAGCTGTTCCAGATGCTGAACCACTCGGTGGCCTACCTGCACTGCGAGCTGGACGTGTGTCTGCACGGAAAGGAGGGATGTGAGCAGGTACCTGGGGGGGCTGCTCTGGCACCACTGAGGGGGGATCTGCTGCCTCCAAAGCCACCACACCAGGGTCACCCCTGCCCGGGAAGTCCCTTAGTTCAGGTCTGGGAGGGGAGTTAATGACATGAAATGGTAGCAGTAGTTGCTAATCCCCAGGGAAAGGGAGCCAGGGAATACAGATTTACACATGTGCTGGTCCAAGGATTAGCAACTCAGCTTTTGGAATGGCAGCAGAGCTGGAAAAGGTGGAATCTGAGGAGATCTGTGCCTGCTGTGGGCTCCTGGGGCAGGAGGTTCTGTTCAGGTGCCACCAACACCCTTTCAGAAGTTTTCCATGTCCTTGCCAGGACTGCTTGGAAAGTGTGGAGCCAGTTCTGCAGCCCAGTGACAGGAACAGCCATGGAAACCTGCACAACCTCATCTCATTTGGCCCAGTTTGGAGGATGAAGGACAGGTTTCTGTACAAACCTGTGGAAGGTGGGTCTCCTCTTCTGCCTTCTCTGTCTCTCTCTCTTGGAGTAGTTTTTGTTCAGCTTTTTCTGCTGAAAAAAAAAAGAAAAGCATTAGTTTTAACAGCTTTCTTGACAGACATCTGCTATGACTAGAATATACCCCAACAACTCCCCACCTTTGTTCTGGCCTTCCTAAACCCCAAACCTGATGGTTAATCAGCATCAGATCCAACAAAGTTTCAGCCAGGAGACACAGCCAACACATCCTCTGAAGGAACTGAAGCTTTAGAAGGAGGAAAGGGGAGGAAAATGAGGCAGAATGGATCTGTAAAGACTTTTCATGCACGTTGTGGTATTTTGACTGAGAATGAGGAATGTCATCAAAACAATTGTGAGAGATATTTACTAATTCTTCCTTCCAGTGCCTGTGTTTTAGATGAGATGAGATGGGAGGAGTCAAGGTTAATGTCAATCAGATGTTGTCCAGGTATTAGAAAAGAGTGACACTGAACCTGGTGCATCATGAACGTGAGAGACTTCTTAAATCCCCTGGCACCATCCCAAATCTCTGGTGTCTTTAGTTGTTTATGCAAAGACAATTTACTGGTGCCATTCTAGGGTACAGAGGGCTGTGTTTGAAAAGGCACTGCCCATTTACTGCTCTGGGGATAGGAATTGCCACACCTGCCTGGCATGCTCTGAAGATGGGTTCCCCTCTCTTCACCCTGTTCATTCTTGATTCCCTCTCTCTGTTTCCAGGTCCTGGCTCTGCTGTGCTGCTGCCCATCCTGCTGGGCTCCCTCACTGGCTTTGCTGTCCTGGGCAGTGCCTTCATAAGCCTTTGGCTGCACCACAGGCAGAAATCCAAACCCCTGCACTACCCCCCCTTTGGAGACATCCATGGGCTGTGAGCCTGGAGCAGCTCCTGGTCCTGCAGCTCCCACACCAGCACCGCAGTGACCAGGGGAGAACAGGTCCTGCCCTGCACATTGTAGTGCTTCTGTAGAGCTTCTGCTGACCCAGGGAGCAAGAGGGGTCCCACCTCTGCCCAGGGCACGTCTCCCCTTCCCTCCTTTCCCTCTGCATGAGCGAGCCCACAAACTGCAGAGCAGAGAAGGGCCGAGGGAGGGGCTGTCAGACCCTGTGGGTGGGGGAGGGCAGCTGGGGGATGCTCAGGGGGTGCTGTGCAGAGCCCTGCCTGGGATCCAGCCTCACATCCCTCTGTTCTGGAGGAACAGGGGCTTCTCCATTCTGTCCACGACCTCCTGCTGCCTGTGCAGCTGCTGCTGGTGGGGAAGGAGGAAGCAGCATCCCTGGAGTGTGGAAGGAGCTGTGAGGCATGAGGAAGGCACCTCTGGGAAGGGATCTCCCTGTCTTTGGGGCCACGGTGTAAATGGTCAGCATGACAGCCCCACTTGGGTATTGTAATGCCATTAAAACTGACCCTGGAACGTGTCTGAGGCCGGAGCTGTTTGCCCAGAAATGGGCACCCCTGAAAGGTCTGGGGGGCAGAGAGCCCCTCTGCAGCCATGGACTGTGTTCCCCTACTCCCTCACCTTCTCCTGAACTCTCTGTAATAAAACTGAGCATTGCAGTAAGTGTTTGTCTTGCCTGTGCCTGAACCTGAGGGAAATGGAGTCCCCTTGGGCTTGTCTCAGCTCCAAAACTGCACTGGCAGGTGAGTGCCAGCAGGTGGGAGTGGGGGTGGCAAGGGCAGGACCTGTGCCAGAAGCATCACACCTTAGGGCGTGGCAGGGAATTGGCAACAATCACCTTCTAATGTTTGTAGGGTTTTTTTTTCTCCCTGAAAGGCTGCAGAGCCCGGCTGGCTTTTTACCTTTTCCTTCTTTCCCTAAAGCCTTGCAGTCAGTGTAACAGGAAAATAGCTCACACTTCCCCCTGGCTCAGTCTCCCTCCAAGAATTTCTTCAAGATCTGGCACAGAGCTAAAAGTTCCAGGTCAAAACTCCGTGACAATTAGACAATTGCCCTGCAGAAGTAGTAATTGCCCTTTGTATTGCAGCAGAGCCGAGGAAATCAGCCCCACGTTGTGTTTGACGCTGCCTCACCTGCAGGGAGAGCCGGGTCACTGCAGACCTGTGTGCTCAGCCCAGGCAATGCCATCCATCCCTGCCGCAGCCAAGGGATGTGTGCTGTGCCTGCTGCTCACGGGGGGATGGTTGAACTGCTCAGAGCAGTGTTCCTCATCCCTCCAAACACCCCTGACAGGCACCCAAGAGCAGGTTTATCCCCGAGGGAACTGCTCTGGGCCACCACAGTTCCTGTGTTTCTGTTGGAGCATTTTCTCAGGCTCATGGACTCGTGTTCACCACATTCTAGTTCTGGGGTTTTTCTCTGTTCTTTATCTTTCTGGAGTGTTTTTTCCTTCTTTATCCTGCTGCACAGGAGCCTCATGGATTTCCCTCTTCCTTCCCTTTCCTGCCTCCCTCTCCCCTGTGCTGATGGCCCAGGTGAGGAATCCCACCCTAAGCCCAGTGCAGTTGCAAGGGGATTGTTGTTTGCACCACTTTCCATCTCATGTTCTTGGAGCATTTTCCCACAGAGTGCTGGATAGGAGAGAGCAGGGCAGCTTTAGGGAACAGCAGACACATTCCTGGAGTCAGGCCATGCAGCTGCTCTGCATGATAAATGGGAGTGACAGGCAGGATCCTCCTCCTGGCAGCAGGTCCCAGGGCTCACCTGGGCTGACTCCCCAAGCAGGGCAGGAGCAGGAGGAGCTCCTTTCTCCCCCTCTGCCAGCAGCCAGGCAGGAGGCAGAGAGCCAGGCTGCCTCTTGTGCCATGACTGCGGCCAGGGAGCGGCAGCTGGGCAGCCTGACCGTCTTCAACAGGGAGGATTTCGAGGATGACTGGGTGAAAGTGGCCAGTGGAGGCTTTGGGCACGTGTACCAGGTGAAGCACAGGAGGTGGAGGACAGTTTATGCCGTGAAATGCTCCCCGTACCTGCTGCAGGACTCCGGCATGGACAGGTAACCCTGCGCCCCCCTCTCAGCTCACGCTGTCCCCCCGAGCTGCCTGCAGTGCTTGGGGGCTAAAACTCTGAGGGAAAGGTTCATGGGGCTGCTTCTCCTTGGGAAGCCAAGTTTTTGGTACCCAAAGGGAGTGGAAAAAGCGCTGGTGGTCTGGAGTTCTGCCTCCCCTCCTGTCTGAGGCGTGGATGTGCAAGGGGGAAGGAACATGGAGAACGGGGTTAATCAGAACAATTGGGGCTGGAATCTGAGGCTGAAAGGCACCTTAAACGTGGGCCTGTGGGTAAGAGCAGTCTGATCACTTGTTTGCAGCTTTCACTGGACATTGGGACTGATGTGTGTCTGTTAAACTAAATCAGTCATTGAAAACACCAGGTTTAAAGCTGAGGGATAGAAAATTTACAGCTGGTTTTGCTGGGCTCCCAGAGCTCTGCTCCCTCACTTGCTGGAGCCTCCAGACCTGCTCTTTGCTCTCACTGGGGCACCTGCACCTTCACTTTGCTTTTTGCTCTGTCTCTCACCTGCAGAGACTCTTCTGCTGACCCACCTTGGGGCTGGGGATGGAGCAGAACCAGGTAATCACTGCTGATAACACACATAGTACAGGCAGAACTGATGGAAAAACATTGATGAAGTAGTTTAATTTAAAATTGTATTCCATTCAAGCTGGGAATGTGCTGCCTGGCTAAAAATCCCCCCCTACTATGATTTCTTATTAGTGACAACGACTGAGCTGGGTCAGCCTCAGCAGTGACTGTCCTCAGTTTGCACTGCTTATGCTCTGCAGATATCACACTTGCATTTTGTTCTCCTTTTTTTTTTTTTGAGGGGGGGGGAGAGTCTAATTAATCAGTTTTACTTCTGCCTCTGTCCATTTTTGTGAGGTCCCTGACATTCCTCCCCACCCAGGTACGTGTCACTGCGGGGAGCTGCCAGGGGGAGCCTGGCAGAGGGATTTGCTTGGCTGAACCATCTCAGATCTATTAGTGGCCTGGCACGGTGCTGTTGGAGGCCCAGATTGATTCCCAGGGTGTGCTTTTTAGAGGCAACCCTGGCCCTTTGCTGCCTGGCTGCTCTCAGAGCGCTCTGGGCACCCCGACCCGTCGGGCAGGTTGGGAGATGCAAAGCTGCAGTGGAACAGGTCTGCCCTGGGTGCAGCAGGGCTGGCAGAGCTGGCAGTGAGGGACGGGCGTGGCTGGGCTCCCTCTGGGACCACATTCACCCTGCTCAGGGCCAGGAGGCTGCAGGCAGAGGTGGAGGCACAGGTAGGGCAGGGTACGGCCTGGGGACACCACGGGTCACCGAGCTCTGCCCGCTCCTGGCACCAGGAAACATCCCTTGGGAATTCCAGAGAACCCCAGAAAGGTCTGGGTTGGAAGGGACCTTAAAGACCCTCCAGTTCCACCCCCCGATGTGGTTGCATTGTCATGAATTCAAGGGGCAAACTGGGATGGATCTTTTCGGGGTGGGCAGGGCTGCTGGGAAAGGCTGGATCTCACTGAGCTGCTGCAGAGTTCCTGAGCCTGGGAATCAACAGAGGCAACTTCTGGGTTCCACTTCCTGTTTTATTTTTCATTTTCACTTTTCCAGGACCAGCATGAACTGTCTCATGGAGGAGGCAACCAAGATGGAGAAAATCAAATTCCAGCACATTGTCACCATCTACGGGGTCTGCAACAGCCCTCTGGGGATAGTGATGGAATACATGGCCAGAGGGTCCTTGGAGAAAATTCTGCCCACTCACAAAATGTCTTGGCAGCTCAAATTCCGGGTTATCCACGAGATGGGCTTGGCTATGAACTTCCTGCATAGCATGACACCCCCTTTGCTGCACCTGGATCTCAAACCAGGGAACATTCTCCTGGACGGGAATATGCACGTCAAGGTATGACCTCACTGGGTGTTTGAAGGGACAGGTTCTGTCTCAAACAGGGAAAGGTTATTTTTGCCAAACAGGTGCAGAGTCCTGGTATATCGAGTTCTTCAGGAACACTCAGTGAAAAATTGGCCACTGGGGCTTATAGGAAGCAACTGGTAAATAAATTAGATTATAGTCTCGAGGTCATCCCGGGAATCTGTGCCAGAGCTGGGAATTTAAGGCTCCAGCCTAGGAGGAAAGGCTGCTCTGCTGGAGCCAGTGGCAGGGACTGAGTGCAGTTTAACAGGGTTTTATCAAGTCTCAGTGCCTGGACCCTGCCCACGTCCCTGATCCTGAGGGAGGGGGGCACGTCCCAGCTAACAGGAGGGATGAGGGATGAGCATTCCAGGGGAAAGGTTCTCACTGCTTGTGCTTGCAGATCTCAGACTTTGGGCTTTCCAAGTGGATGGAGCAATCCAGCAGAATGCAGTACATCGAGAGCTCTGCTCTGAGGGGCACTTTGAGCTACATCCCCCCCGAAATGTTCCTGCAGAACAGCAAACCCCCGGGAATCAAATACGATGTGTACAGGTAAGGGCTGCCAGGGGGCACACAGGGAGCTCCCTGAGCCCTCCCACAGAGCCAGAGGGGCTGCACACTGCCCCATTTCGTTTAAATCCTGCTTTATAACGTGGGGAACAGCCTGGGAGGGACAGAGTGCCCCCACCTCAGTGCTGGAGACTGAGAGGGAGGGGGATTTTCTGTGGAAAATCATCATCCCTGACCAGCAGCACCCATCCCATGTGAGCTGCTGACTGTGTTGCCTCAGGTGCCATCACGCCCTGTTTGGTTGCTGGAAGTTATTATAAAAATGAGTCAGATTAGAGCCCAGAACACACAGTGTCTGCTCTTTCATAGCAGTCACTGCTTGGGTTCATTTTGCTTTTAAAACAACTGTAATATTGCTTGTCTGCTTCAGGATCCAGCTTCACTGTGGTCAGTAACAGATGGAGAAGAGATTTCAATGTGATTTTTTTCCTTTGGGGCAAAGAGCTTTGAAGCATATTTACACAAGCTACATATAAATGTCTGGAAATTCCTTGTCTCCTTGGCCTCTACACCCCACAGTCACCCAAGGCAAGAAGCAAAGGAGGATTTGCACGGCCCCATGAACTTGCAGTAGTCAAGGCCCCTAAAACCCAATGTGAATAAAATGAAAAAAAGGCACTGAGAGCCCAAGTTTCACAGGAAAGGCTCTAAGTCACTAATTCACTACACCAACCCTTTCACTGGGGCATTAGCGAGATAGAACCATAAGACCTGATCCCTTTGGCCTGGGGGGTGAACTCCTTCCATCCTGAAAACCCTCTTCCCTAATTTCCCCATTTCTCAAGAGGGTAAAAGCAATAAGTGCATTTTCTGTACCCGTGGGGGGGCTGCTCACCATCTCCCCTCGCCCGCAGCTTCGGGATCGTCATCTGGGAGGTGCTGATGCAGAAGAAACCCTATGCAGGTAAATATGAGCCCTTCTCCCTGGCTCTGCAGTTGGGAAGTGCTCACTGCAGCTGCCCTCCCAGAGGAAAAGCCCCGGGGTGCTGCTCTGTTGCAGGAGCCAACATGATGGCCATCATCGTCAAGGTGGCCGCGGGGAAGAGGCCGGGGCTGGAGCTCATCAGCGACGACTGGCCCGGGGAGTGCCAGCAGATGGTGGACTTGATGAAGAGGTGCTGGGACCAGGACCCCAAGCAAAGGCCAAGCTTTTCAGGTGGGAATGTGACTGGATTACCCAAAAACCAGCTGCAGGGATTAACAAACTCGTGTGTCACTTCCCCGGGATTTAACTGCCTGCTGCCCACGTGCTGTCAGGCATCCCCTGTATCCTTTCTCCCCTTTCTTCCCACGTGGAAGACTTGTGTCCTGCCTGGGATCTGAGCCCCTGGGCAGGCTGCCCAGCTGACAGAGTGTTGCCCTGGCAGATATCCCTGTGGAGACAGACATGCTGCTGGCACTGATACAGAGCCTGGTGGTGGACCCGGAGAACGAGCGCCTGGTCAGGAAGATGTCCCACAAACCTGCCATCTCTGGGAACCAGCAGGTGAGGAGAACTGCCCAGGGCCACTCAGGAAATCCCACAGAGTCCTCTCCCTGTACTGGGAGTGTGTTCCCCCTCTCATCAGGCAAGGGCACTTCAGCACCTTTGCTCAGTGTGTTTGCACAGGTTGTGCACTTGTAATTCATTTAAGGGGATAAGAAACGTGCAGTTTTATCCTCCCTACCAGAGTGGAACTGTGTCTAGAACTCAGCTTTACAGGGGGAGAAACAGGGGTTGAGAACTGTTGGCATTTAGAGGTTTTGCCAAGCTGTGCAGTCAGCAAGAAACAAGAGACCAGAGCACAGAGGGTTGAAGAGGTGTAGGGGGGGCTGGGGGTCGCTAAAAACAAAGGAATGACTCTGTGATGCTGCCACAGGCACCTGATGCAGTAAGGAAGCAGAGTATATGTTTGTTTGGGAGCAAAGGAGGAAGAGGAGGAGCAGCTCATTGATGCCCAGAGACCATTTTCAAGCTCCCACATTCCTGTTGTGTCCTGATTTGCCCAGCTGAGTTTTGGATGCAATAACAGGGTTGGGTGAAAATGATAATAAAATGATAATCAATAATGAAAATTATAAAACTCAAATGATAACACAGAACTCTAGAGCAGTAGCCAAGAACTGTGTGCAGACATCACAGAATGCAGTTGAGCACCTTTATCTTATGGCTTTTTCTTTTTCCTTCCTGAAAATGAGTGTGACAAAGAGGAGTTCACCTTCCCCCGAGACACCAGGAGTGGTGGTAAGTAGGGGACTTTCTTTATGATTGAAAAATAAAGAAGGGGAAGCCTGCCAAAATTGTCTATTTTTTGTAGGAGGATGTGGCTCGTAAAGTTTTCCATGTGGGTGATGTTTTAAGTTAAGGAAAATGAACTCTACAGGAAAGAGCAGATCCAGTTCCCATGAGGGAGAGGCCAAATGTCCCACTGCCCTCTGAGAGGCTGCAGAGAAGTGGCCTGGCCTCATTCCATACTCCCTGTCTCTGAAATGCCTTTGTTTCATTCCACTCTAGGAAGAGCCACAGGCTCTCCCTCCCACTGAGCACTTTCACTGGGTTTTACTGTTTTTTTCTCCTATTTTGTCTCCCTGCCTTTAGAAACAGATAACCAGGAGGTTCCTCTCCCACCTCCCTACAGCGAGGCTGAAAGCCCGGAGGAGATCCTGTCCGAGGAGATCTGCAGGGTCCACGAGAACGGGCTCACCCTTCTCCACCTCATGGTGATCCAGGGCAACGTGGAGAAGGTGAAGTTCCTCCTGGGCTGCAAAGCCAACGTGAACAGCCAGGTGGGCTGTGGCTACACCCCGCTCATCATGGCCGTGCAGAAGAGGCTGCCAGAGATCTGCTCCGTCCTCATCGAGCACGGCGCCGACCCCAACGTGCCGGACGAGGACGGCTGGACACCCCTGCACTTCGCCGCCCAGAGCGGGGACGACAGGATCGTCCGGCTGCTGCTGGACCACCAGGCCCGAGTGGACGCCCAGGAGCAGGACGGGTGGACCCCCCTGCACCTGGCGGCCCAGAACAACTTTGAGAACGTGGCGCGGGTGCTGCTGTCCCGCCAGGCCGACTCCAACACCCAGGAGGGGGACGGGAAGACCGCCCTGCACGTGGCGGCCTGCTTCGGCCACGTGGGGCTGGTGAAGCTGCTGGCCAGCCAAGGGGCCGACCTGGAGAGGAAGCAGAAGAACCACAGGACCCCCCTGCACGTGGCCGTGGAGAGGGGCAAGTTCAGGGTGGTGCACTACCTGCTGAAGAACGGGACCTGCGTGAACAGCCTGGACCAGAACCACTACAGCGCCCTGCACCTGGCGGCCGTCAGGGGCAAGCTGCTCATCTGCGAGAAGCTCATCAAGCACGGGGCCAACGTGGAGCTGAGGACGGACAAGGGCTGGACCCCCCTGCACCTGGCCTCCTTCAAAGGGCACGTGGAGATCATCCGGCTGCTGCGGCGCAGCCGCGCCCGGCTCAGCGCCCGGGGCAGCATGGACTGGACCCCCCTGCACTTGGCCACCCGCTACGGTGACGAGCCCGTGGTCAGCGAGCTGCTGCGGGGAGGGGCAGACCCCGACGTGCCCGAGGGCTCGGGCTGGGCCCCCCTGCACTTCGCCGTCCTCAGGGGCTCCTTCCTCACCGTCATCAACCTCCTGGAGTGCGGGGCCGACGTCAACGCCAGGAACAAGGTGGGCTGGACGCCCCTGCACCTCGCCGTGCTCAAGGGCAACATGGCCATCGTCAAGACCCTGATCAAGGCCGGGGCTCTGCTGGACGTGGAGGACATCACCGGCTGCACGGCCCTGCAGCTGGCGGTCAGGCACCAGAGGGAAAACATCATCACCCTGCTCCAGGGCAAGGACCCGGCGCTGAGCAAGGCGGGGAGCAGGACTCTGGTGAACGACGCGAAGGCTGCGAGACCCAGACTCGTTCCAGGAAGGACAGATCTGTAAATTCATCAGCCCTGGCATTTGTGGCTTGAGTCTCCCAGTGTCAGGTGCTATCCCTTAAGGCACCTTGTCCTGTCACCTGGTGATACTCTCCTCTTTTTAAAGGGAAGTTTCTAAGCACGAACAGTAAAGAGTAAAAGAAAAATGAAGCTGCAGAAGGAAGCTGACAAGTTATTTTCCAGGGTCTGGCCAAGCTTGTAGAACATTCTGCCTTGGTGATGTTGGCTTTAGGCAATGCTTTCCTGTTTAATACTTGCTGTGCAGGGATGGAAAGGGGTATGTGCAGTCCCTGTTCGTATGGGCAATGCTGAAGCTGTGCACAGCACATATACGTGTCTTCCATGGATTTCATTGCTTTTATTCCATGTTTTCCTACAGAGAAAATTGGTGTTAAAATGACCTTGGCACAGGTGGGAATTGAATCATGAGATCCTCACCTGCTGCTGCAAATAGACACCAAACATATGGCACAGCAATGAGTCAGGTCGCTGACATCTCATTTTTGTAACAAGAATTAAATAAAGCAAGGAAGGAAAAAAAAAATCCCTAGTGGAGAGTATTTAAATGGATGCAGCACAGAGAAAAGGAATTCCAAAATAATGCCACTCCATCCCTTCGGTGTTTTGAGGGCACTGCTCTGCTGCCAGTGCTTTCCTCACTCCTCAGCTGCAGCCCAGGGCAGGAGGGATAACCCCACCTTTGGCATGGAGTTGGTGCCCAAGGAATTGAGGGAAGGCTCCTAACTGAAGACTAAATGCCAAGGTGGCTCTCAGGACCCACCCTGGTCTCTCCCAGGGATCTGGGTGGGTTTTCCAGCTCTCATCAGTCAGGGAAATCCTGCAGTGTAAGGACTGGAGCTGGTCCTTGCTGAGCTCTGAGATGATCCAGTCCCTGTTCTGCTGCTCTGTGCTGACAGGAGCTGACATCCAGCGTGGGTTTAGTGCCTGTGTCATGCAGATAACAGGGCTGTGGCTCCTGTCCTCTGTCCCTGATGGCTCTGTGTCCCAGGAGAGTGGAAAAGGCAAAACCTTTGCACGTTTTCTGATGGTTTAGTTATTTCCTCAGATTTTTAGATAACTCAAAGCCTCAGCATAACCGAACTAAATCAAGGGAGTGGTTTTCCATCTTTCAGTCTGTTTAGTTTTCTTTTTTTTGTTTGTTTGGCTTCTTGGGTTTTGTTTGGTTTTCTTTTTGTTTGCTTGGGGGTTTTGTTTGTTTGCGGGATTTTTGTTTTGTTTGGGTTGGTTGGTTTTCCTTTTTTGTTTCTTTGTTTCTTTCACTTTTTTTTGTTTGTTTCCTTTCCTCAGTGTGTGCTCTCAAGAGCTCAGATCTGTGACAGGAACCTCTGGGCTTCATTTCAGCCCCTTTAACCTCCGGGTAGCTGAGGCTGGGGGGGGAGGTAAGGCTTGAAGGACTGACTTCTCCCTTCTCTTGGGGAGTGAAGTTGAAAAGCTGCCAGAACCCCTCCTGAATGGTCAGCAGTGACAGGTGTTAAATGCTTTGGTATTCAGTAAGGATGGTTTGGGGGTTATTCTTGATGTCTGGATTCGTGGCTGCACTGAAAGCTTTGGTGTGAGAGCTGATTTACCTGATCTACCTGCTCTTGATGTCCCACAAATGGCAGCTCCGGGCTCTGGATTCTCAGACCTTTCTGTGCAGCTCTTTCCCTCAACTTCAGCTGTATTGATTCAGCAAATGTCTCCACTGCTTAATATCGTTTGAAATATTTACACAGCAAAAAGAAATCCAAATTGCCACATAATTCAGCAGCTCCTTTCTGTCCTCACTCCAACAGAAACCCAAAACTCGGCTCGTATGTCATGGAACGCTCTCCAGAAGAGCTTAATTAAATTTATAATGAAAATAACAGGGGGGTTGAGAAGACACGAGGGAAATACATTCCCCTTGCTGAGCATCACAGAGGTGATAGAAGCACTTTGCAGAGAAAATTACCTGTTTGCTGCTCAGTTTCTATAGAAATTAAATGTCTTTACAAACTCTGCAGAAGTGCATTCCAGCCTCCGCTTTGTGACTGTGCAACCTGCAGCTCGTTAGTTCTAAAATTAATCCTGGCTCTCCAGCTCTCCCCACTCCCCTCTTTTTTTTTTTTTTTTTTTTTTTTCCCCCTTGTCCCCCCCCCCCTCTTTTTTTTTTTTTTTTTTATTTCTCCCCCTTGTTCAAACCCATTGCAGCCTTTTTGTCCCTGCTGATCAGTGCACTGAGGGTTAGATCCTGTTCCTGCCCCAGGCAGGGGTGTCTTTGGAAGGGAGCAGTGGCAGGACAGGAATCTCCCAAGCAGCTCTTCCCTTGAGGGCACTGCTTGGGTTTCACGGGCTGTTCTGGCCTGGGAGGGACCCTATGGAGCCCAACCCTCAAGTGAATTCAAAAAGATCAAAACTGCTGACCCTTATGCCATAAAAATGGGGTCTTTGGATGCAGGAGCTTGGCCAGATTTACCCAGAGAGCTGGAATTTATGGACATGGGTGATCAGACTGAGGGTTTGGGTCCCAAACTGTACCCAGAGCTGCTTGGGTGAACAGAGGGGTGTTCCTCACTCCACCAGGGAATTCTCCATCCTGCTGCTGGGATGGCCCTGGAGTGCTGCCCTGAACATCTCTGACAGGCAGGAACTTTGGCCAGCCTTGAAAAAAAATACCCAACCAGGATGACACCTTGTTCCCCCCCCCATTGCTTTAGCTTTGGGGTGACCTAAGTGCTCCTTCCAGGACCTGAAGGAGCTCCAAGAAAGATGGAGAGAGACTATTTGCAAGGGCCTGGGAGTGCCAGGACACAGGGAATGGCTCCCCACTGCCAGAGGGTTGGAGGGGACATTGGGAAGGAATTCCTGGCACAGGTTGCCCAGGGAAGCTGGGGCTGCCCCATCCCTGGGAGTGCCCAAGGCCAGGCTGGAACAACCTGGACGGGTGGGAGGTGTCCCTGCCCATGGCAGGGGGTGGGATGAGATGATCTTCAGGGTCCCTTCCAACCCAAACCATTCCATGACAAAGGATTTTTCACTTAGAAATGTCCAACCCCAGCCAGTGAGTGAGAGGGGGGTTGTTGTGTGTCACACAGAGCAGGAACACTTCCGAGGCAAAATGTGTTTGAAGAAGAGCTGCTTTTGTCACCATCCAAATGTGGACATTTCAGTGAAAGGTTTAGCTCCTCTGGGGGGAAATGTTTTGAAACGAGATCATTTTGCATCTATGTTTTGCATTGCTCCTGCTTCCCAGTGACTGCAATTTTTGTTTGTTTGCCAGTGCTGCAATTATGTAGGTATGTGATGAAATTAAAATTTAAATAGTCCTACATTTTAGAGGAAAATGGATCTGAATAAATACAGCTTGGGGGGGGAAAAAAAGTTTATTTTTAGCAGAAATGCTTGTTTTTTTCCATAGCCCCTTAGGTGTGGAAAATGAAGATGTTTCTGACAGCAATGATGTGAATGTAGGAGGGAGTGATTTTAATGTAAGAAGAAATAGTGAATTCTATGTGTTTCTTTTTATTCCAAGGAGGTGGTTGTAGGCTCTGTACTGTATCAGACGTCAGTGTGAGACATTCCTGACTCCCTCCACAGCCTTTTCATGGCCTGACATAATTAATCCTGCTCTGGCTGCTCTCTTTCCAGACTATCCAGCACTTACCTGTGCTACTCCCCAGCTTTAGGGAGTATTTTAATCCTCTTCCTTTGAAATAAAGCCACGGATCACTTCAAAAAGCAGCTCCCCACCCAGCTCTGTCCCTGCACAGGGCTGTGAGCTCACCTTCCATCAGAGGGATGGCAAAAAGGGGCCTGACTGGCTATCAGGGAGCACTTGCTGTTTTCTCCTACCAGGCATTTCATCCCCAGCAAGTTTAGCATCCTTTGATCCTTCCATCAGCTGCTGCTTTCCTTCCTGGTGGCTCAGAGCACAACAGGGAACCCTCCTCTTCTGCAGTTTGCTCCTGGCCTCGTTCTCTTCTTCTGGGGGAAAAAAACCCCAAACCCAAAGCAAAGCCCAACCCCAACACTGGTGGTGTTTAAATCCTGCCATCTCCGTTTTTTAAAAGAAATTTGGTTTGAGAGATGAAAAATCAAGAAGACAAAAAGATCAAAGTCGCCCCATAGGAAACCCCACAGAACGTGACTGACCTCTCCTTCCTGGAGAGATGTGGTGACTGTGCTCCTGAACAGAAACAAATAAATAAATAAATAAATCCCACCGACCTTGCTGGTTAGAAAATATCACATTACAGACTCCATCTCCAGCTGGAGCAATTATAGAGAGGATTAGGCCAGGGTCAGCAATCAGGAGGTGCAGTAATTAGCTGTAATAAAGGAGAAAATGAGCCTTTGTTTGCTGCTCTGGTACAAGGCCATTACTTGGGGAAAAAAAAGGAATATTATGGATACTGAGAGAGTTTAGCTGTGACAGAATTGAAGTTTGGGGCATAACTGGACTCATTCCATGGCACTTTTACTGCTCTTCAGCACAAGCTTATTTCTTAACAAGGCAGAGGAGTGTTCTCATCACCAGGAAGATTTTATTGCTGTTCTTTGGATGAACTTTAATGTCTGCTCCAAGCAGGGGGAAAAAATCCTTAGAAGGAGTTCAGGGAATTAATTTTCTCGTTTTAGAAAAGACTCCAGTCTGCCAAAAGGTTTTGCTCAGAACTGACCTGCCTTTATTTTGCTTAAATAGCTGTCTAACACCCAGTCTGATTCCCCCCAGGAGGGCTCAGGAGGTCTATTTGCTGCCCAATTTGTTGCTCCTGTTGGCTGAGCACGGTTGTGTTTTGTTTGTGGCTCATCCCTGGAGACCCCAGGGAGTGCAGGAAAATGTCACAGGCCATGAACCCACTCAGACTCGCTCAGAAAGTAACAGGGAGAAAATCAACAACGGCCACCACGAAAGAAATAGAGAGACAAAAGCAGAGAAAAGGTGGAATTCAGCTGAAAGCTGGAAAACTCCCTGTGTTTGTGGGAAGAGGGGAAAATTTCAAATCTACTTTATTGTCCCTAAAACTTAGACACGGATTTGGGACTTTTGGAGCAGTTAGGACTGGGGGACGAGTCTTCCTGCAAAAAACCAGCTTTTCTGCTCCCGAGTTAACCTGTCCAGGGTGCCTGTGCACCCCCCAGGGCAGTCCCACAGAGCTGCTCCTCTGCAGGCACCAAACCCACTCCTGCCCTCCCCTCTAACACCGGGATGAGCCCCCTGGAATGTCCCCTGGGATGGGGGAGCTCTGTCCCACTGCTGGGACCACTTTGGTGGGACCTCAGTGCTCGTGGCTGGGGGGTGGCAGCTCTTCCCCGAGGCTTTGGGGTTTAAATGCCTGTTTTCCTGCTGCACTCAGCCAGCCTGGCTCTGCCTGGGCGAAGAGGAACGTCTCAATCAGTCTCTCCCTTGTGGAAAACTTCCCT